GTGCCAATGTGTAATAAGAGTAAGGCCTGTAGGGGTATTATGCCTTCTGGCCTGCAAACAATTTTTTTTTTTTTATATATACTTAAGTATAGATAGATACATATAAAAATATAGTAAATATGATATTTTTTATTAACTCATGCAAGACATAAACTAAACTCTAAATTACAGTTGACAAGCCTAAGCATACTGTAACTAGTAATGTACTATTTATATAATACTTAAAAAATTTTAGCATACAGTACATAAAGTATATACTGTATATATAGTTCTTTTTTAAAAAATTTATCATATAGTACATATAGTATATACAGTATATATAGTACTATACATAGCATATTACTAACTATAACAGACTAAATTTAGATATTAATCTAGATTTTTGACAACATAACCAGATGTCTGCTAATTTTACTGGTCATTTAGGTAAATAATTATTGCAAACAAATTAGTACTAGATTTATAGAATTATCATTATATATTAAATTTTAATTCTGTATTGCATATTGACTTATGTATTATGCATATAGGATATTAGTAGCATTAGTCACATAACTTGTAAAATCAGTAACTGCTTTAGTCATGTTATCTTCTAATATTAAAAGTCTTGGACCTATTCAACTTAAACAGTTAGCAATAAGAATTTATTTAAATCAAACATAACAAAATAGGTTTGTACTAAAACATTTCCAGTTATCTTTATTCTACAGTATAAGTTGTTTTCTAAGCAAGGTATGCAATGAGTAAGATGATTTAAAGATTATGTTGCATATAAATACTGTAATATTTCAAGATTATAAACAGCTTTTGCAATGATTTTTTATTAAAAAAATAAAAAGTACTTTAAAGTATATAACTAAGTTAGTCAGAAAATTGATTTATATTAACTATTTATATAAGTGTCCTTTTATAACTTTAATTTATTATGTAATTTTTTTATTAAAAGGTTAGCAACAAATTATAAGTTTTTTTTTATAATCCAAGATAGCAATTATCTGTAGACATCAATTAATTAATTTATTATATTATAAACTATACAATGTTATGTTTAAACATGTTTAATTGTTTACTTTATATATATGTTTTAGTAGATCTCTTTCTCTCTCCTTAATTAATTTGCAGCTTAGAGCTATTTGTATTTTTTTTGTAATTTTATTGTGCTATTTTCCTATTTTCTGACTATAAACCTGATTTAAATTTTATATATTACTATTAAATATAGCTATATAACTACTAAGTAAAGTTAATATAAATTTGTGTTAGATGCTGTAACTATTTCTTCTATAGTTATTGAGTGTGTTCAGTTTTGTAAAAGACCCAACCTGTTATATACAAGCTTCCAAAGTTTGTTACTAATGTGACACTCTAGTGTAAAATGTTCTATTATTTGCTGCTTATTTGGCATCATAGACAATCACATAATTTTGTTGAATCTATATAGGCTAATCTTGGTTTTAAAGAAAGAGCTTTGTGTATTATTTATTAAAAAATGTTCTTCTTTCTATTTGAGGCCCACTTTATAAGCAACTATGTTCAGTTTTCTTTTCTATTATTTTTACTAAAGAGATTGTTCTATAATAGAATGCATAATACTGATATTTTTTTTAGATGTTTTGTAGCCTTAGCAACTGTTAGATTGTTTGCTTCAGCTTCTATAATTTTTAGATTTTTTTTGCCCTATGGACAGTTTCTATTTTTGTCTAAGATTTTATCTTTCAATCTTTTCTATACTAAAAGATATAGCTTTTATTCATAGGGCCAAGCTTTAAGGTTAATTAAAAGATTTGTAAAAGATGTCAGAACTGATATTTTTCATTTTTTGCATAATAAAATCTCTATTTTCTTTCTTTTATTTATAGCCCAAAAATTGTAACTGAAAAGTAATATAATCTAAATTGTTACTAATCTTGAATCTAGCATGTTTGTTAGAATAAGAAATAAAGGCCTTTAAGCTATTATCATCATATGTCTGTTAATATATAGCATATCTAGAGAGAATCTTAGATTTGTTGTGATTTAAATAGAAATTAAATTATTAATTTTCTATAGTTGCTTTTTGTTAGAAGAAAGGATATAAGTTGCAAACTAGAGCTTGGATAGAAAAAATTTTGCTATTAAAATTCTACCTTTGAAAGACAGATTTCTTTCTCTTAAGAAACTGACTAGCTTTTTAATTTTTTTAGTAATTGTTTTTTAGGAATTTTTTGCTACTTTATTTATCTTAAACTTTAGTATTCTAATTGTTTTATTTTCTTCTACTTTGGCAAATTTTAACTCTTTTAGTAGCATTATTTGGCTGTTCCTTTTAGTCAAAGAAAATAGTTTTAATTTATTTTTGTTTATTACTATATTGGCTGCTGACTCATATTTTGACAGTAACTTTATTAGAGTTGTCTAGTTATCTACTGAGTTTATGCCTACAGTTAAATTATCTGCATAGACTGTAATTTTAAAATATAAGAACCTAGTTGGTACTTCATTCAGTTTTCATTTCAAAGTTCTTAGAAATAGTTTATATGCAATTATATACAGTAATGGTAAAAGTAAGCTTCTCTGCCTAATGTTTCTGTTTATTTTGAATGCAGTAAAGAGTAGGCCTTCATCTGAGATATGAGCTATTAAATAAGAGAACAAGTTTCTAACTAGTTTTGTAAATCTGTTATTAAATCCTATTTTCTCAAGCACTAATACTAAATATTTATGACTTACTTTGTCAAAGATTTTTTTTTAGTCTAAAAATAATAGTTATGCTGGATCTAATTAATTTTTCTGACTTCTTATTGTGCTTATAATATTTGAGGCAGCATCAATAATAGATTTGTCTTTATGAACTTTTTTTGATGTTCACTTGTAACTTCTTTACAGATTGTATTTAGTCTATTTGCAATTATTTTCATAAAAATCTTAATGTCTACATTGACTAAGAAGATTAGTCTTCAGTTGTTAATATTTTCTAGTATTTTAGATTTTTTAGAAATTAAGGGTAGGGGCAAGTATTTTAAAATTATATATAAACTTAATAGTAATTTTTTTATATTTAATTTTATAAAAAATTATATTAAGTAAACTAATTTTAATTATTAAGTAAAAGTTGTAGAATAGATTTTTTGATTTTAATGATAGTAAAATTATTAAAATAGGTTAAAAACTCATTAAGATATGAATTTTTAAAGATTAAAATATAAAATTATAAAAAAAATTAACTAATAGATTTATGTAAATTAACCAATTAAATTTTTTATTTTTGTGCTATCTAAGTAAATTTTAACCTATTTAAGTAAACATTATTATATATACAAGTATATTTTTTTAAATAATACAATATTTAAAAATTTTACTATAATAGATAAATAATTTTATTTATAATATAAAAAGTTTTTATTAATTAATTAAAAAATAAAAAAATTTTATTAGTAACATATATCAAATTTAGATAAAAATGTAAATATTACTATATAAAAATAATTTATATGACCCTATCCTTAAAGTAATTATGCTTTTATGCCATGATTCAGACATTATATCTGTACTTAAAGCTTTATTAAAAATAATTTTAAGAGCTAAAAAAATTTCATCTATATAAGATTTATAAAACTTGTATATTAACCTATTAGGTCCAGGGCTTTTATTGTTTGATAAGCTATTGATTGTTTTAATAATCTCCTCTAAGTTAATTTCTCTTGTTAGTATTTGGCTTTCTAACTGTAATACTGATAGTAGATTATCAGCAAATTCCTTTACTGCTTTTAGCTCAATTGCTTCTGTTTTATAAAATGCTTTAAACTGTTTTCTTATATAAAGTAAGCTTTTTAAAGAGTCTTTAGTTTGTGGTAATAATGAATCTCTAATCTTGCATATTACAGCACAAGCTGTCCTTAACTTAAATTTCTTGAAAAAGTATCTTGTAGATCTTTCTTTCTCTTTTGGCCCACTTAACTTTGGATTTTAGCTGTTATTTACTTGCAAGCAACTTTATTTCTTTTTGTAATTCTAAATTCAGCTATGTGACAATTGCATTTAAATTAATTAATTTTAAGTCTTTAGCTAGCTTATTGTTTAGTTTAGTTATTTTCTTGTATAGTTTATTGATATAAGTTTCTAAAGCAGTTAAAAGTTTGTAAGCTCTAAAAATTGATTGTATTCAAAAATTATAGTAATTCTAATCTGATATTACTGTTTCTTCTTTTAGTTATTTTGTTATTTTCTTTTGCAATATAGGAATTGCTAAGAGTTCTTAAATTAAGTTTTCACAGAATAAACATAAGTGTTTCTGATCTACTATATAGTAAACTCCATATGAGCAGATGGTCTGAATTACCAAATTTAGTCTATATTTTTTTGCACATATATATGTGTTTATTATTAAGAAAAATGTAGTTGAGCCTTGTAGTTATAAGATATTTGCTTTTCATCTTTTTGTAATAAGTAATAAAAGGTTTTATATTATTTTTGTGTACTGTATCTGTAAAGTCTTTTATTATTTCATTAAGCTTATTTCTAGTTAGATCATTGTAACTTTGTGATTAACTAATTCTATTATTTAATAGTCTGAGTTTATGTTAAAGTTACTAGTTATTATATTAATTGCATTTTTATTTATACTAGATGACTATGTATCAAAAAAAATATTTCTATTAGAAACATTAGAAGAAGCATAATTAATTGTAATTTGAAAAGTTAAGTGTTTTAGTTAAAAATCCACAGTTATTATTCTTTTATTATATAAGATTAGACTATTATTTAGTTTAATTCTCTAATTTTCAGCTAAGGTAGCCAATTTGGATGACTATATTGAATCAAATTACCATTGTCTCTTTAAAAACTTTTGCATTAATGTATTTTTTAAGTTAGTTTTCTAAATTAAAATGATGTCCAATTTATATAACTTAAGAAAGTTGAGTGTTTCTTAACATTTTATTCTATTATTAAAACCTATGACATTTAATATTACTATAGATATAATATGTACTTCTCTCATTTGCAAGGTAAGCAAACTTTCTTTAAGCTGAACTCACATTTATCTTTTTCTTTTTTTTCTTGCTGTTTATAATCTCAGTAAATTCATTATTTGTATTATTCTGTATTTCTTTAAGAGGGAGTCTATTTTCTGAAGTCTGTTGATCACAGTTTATATAGCTTTTTGCTTGAGTATCATTTTTAGTATTTGGTGCAATCTTCTTTTCAGTAGAACTCTTAATACTTGTTGTTATATAAGTTATATCATTGATTGCAGTCTCCACTTTATTATCACATAGTTTAAATCATATGTTCACAGATTCAGTTGTATTATTTGTCTTCTTTTTAATTACTATAGAGCCTTTTATAATTATATCTTGTAAAGTGTATTCTTGATTTCTATCACTCTATGTTCTCTTTGTTCTGAATTTCTTAGTTTTTTGTATTGATTTTGTTGCACTATCCAATAAAATTTAACTACCTTTAGTTTTTTTGTATTTCTTATAAAATTGGTTTAGTTTGTTAGCTTCCTTTTGTTATAGACAGTCTTTTTTTAGATAATGTTACAGAATGAATTGCATGTTTTTTACTTAAATAAAAGAAATCCTTAAAATAATATGCTAGTTAACTTACCAAAGACATGACAATGGTGATTTAGCTAATAATTATGTTTAAGACTTTTTAAGAGTCTTTGTCAAGTTTAATGTATTCATTATGCAAGTTAGGGATTAAGTAATTTTTATTGTTATTTTATTAACTTATTATCATTTTCAAGGAACTTACTTTCTTTTACAAAGGTGAAACTACAACTCTTTTATAATGCTAAGACTTTAAGTAACATAAAAGGCTTTTGGAATTGTGCAACTACTATTCTTTTTAAATCTTAAAACTACTTCATTGATTATGCTAATTCTTATATTCCCTTCATTAAACATTCAGGATTTCTTATTTCTTCCTGAACCTTCTCTATCTTATGTTTGCATTATTATTATTAGAACCTTCTAGCAGTAATATCTAAGCCTTGTAGATTATATGCATAATCTTTTTATGATAATCAATGCTCTGGTTTGGTGATTTACACTGTGATTTTAGAAATGTCACTTTTACTCCATGACAATAACTTTCTTTATTACAAAAGTAGCACAATTTTAGAGCTTTTTTCTACTCTGTAATAACCTTTTGATCTATTATATTAATGTCTTTTGAATTTTTTTGTACTGGGTTTGTGTTATTTATAATATAAATATCACAACTCATTAATCTGATTGTATTGGTGTGGCTTTATACAAAAAAAACTTAATTGCCATTATAGTATCTATATTGTTAAATACCTTTCTTATTTTGTCTATAATTATTTTTTTTGTATAATTGGAACTTTTTTAGGCTTTACTAACAGTAGATATTAGTTAGTTCTAGAGAATATAAAGTTGAAAAATATTTGTTAAAATATCACTATTTCTTTCTTTATATAATTTTTTATACATTGCTCATTTACAAAGATTATCTTAAAGTAGACATGAGTTTTCCTAATAAAGTATAGTTTGAAATTAATAAAGTCTGCTCCAATTTTGTTATAAAAAACAGTGACCAAATTATTGATTAATATGTCATTTAGTTTTCATATATCAAACATTAATGCATCATTATTCTTCATATTTATATTAATTTAAGAAAAGAAAGTGGCCCTAAAAATGGCTTTAAAAGTATTTTGATGTGCCAAAAGTTATGCTAAAATTAAAAGTCATACCAAAAGTCATACTGAAGTCAAAAGTTCTACTGAAAATCAAAAGTCTTACTGAAAGTTAAAAGTCTTACTGAAAGTCAAAAGTCTTACCAAAAGTTCTACTGAAAGTTAAAGTCTTACCAAAGTTGGAAATCTTATCAAAAATCAAAACCCTTACTGAAAGTCTTACCAAAAATTGAAAGTCTTACTGAAAGTCAAAAGTCTTACTGAAAGTTAAGGTTAATCATATCTTGATACAAATACTTTTTTGATTTTAAAAAAGTCATGTGACTGCTGTACTTAAAATTGACTAATAGAATTTTTATAGTTTATTAGTCAATTCTAAGTGCAGCAAGTATGTGACTTTTTTAAAATCAAAAAACTATCTGTATCAAAATATAATTGGCCTTGATTTTCAGTAAGACTTTCAATTTTTGGTAAGAATTTTGACTTTTAGTAAGACTTTCGACTTTTAGTAAGGGTTTCAACTTTTAATAAGACTTTTAACTTTCAGTTAAACTTTTGACTTTCAGTAAGACTCTCAACTTTTAGTAGGACTTTTGACTTTTGAACATTTCAGTAAACCAAACTTAGTTCAAAAGTACTTTCAGTAGACTTTCAATTTTAGCAAGTACTAAAAGTACCTATTTTTAGAGTCATTCTTAGGTGACCTGTCTTCTTGTTAATTTGGTGAAAAGACTTGATCATGGTCTTGTATTTTAAGAGAATTAGTTCTGTCTTTTACAAGTATATCTTATTGAGTATTAATATCACATAAATTCACTTGCAGATCAGGTAATGTTTTAATACCTGATCTTTCACTGATATTTCCAGAACTTCTTCTCTAAGAACCATAAAGTTATCCTTATAAACATGTTCTTAAGTATCTATTATTTGCTAGTTTTCTGCTGCTTCTTCATGTTTCAAAACCTCTGCCCAGTCTATACTTGTTATATTCTCTGTGCCTAAGGTAAAAGTATTAAGCAAGGTGCCTCTTTTTGAGTCTAAGATTATTGGTACTTTCATAATTATGTTTTTTCTTAATTCTCTGGTTTTGAGTCTTGTGTTACAAACCTTCTTCATTTTCTTTTTATTGTCTTTACTTTCCTGACTCAATATTTTTCTTTTTTTTGATACAAGTGCTGTTGCCCTTAGTCTTTAATTTGAAGTGTTTTTGTTACTTTTAAACTTTGAAATTATGTTTTTTCTGAGTTACTTAGCAATAGTATACAGCAGAGTGACTATTGATCTTTTTTAAATTATTAGTTTTATATGAGGGCTGTAAAGCAAAAACTTATAATTGTGTGTTTCTGAAATTAATTTTACAGATCAAACCTCAATAAAATGTGATTTAATATATATCTTGTGCTTGATTTAAATTTATTAAAAGTCAGATCAGAAATTAGAGTTGGCAAAAATTGAAATTAAGATTTTCGCTTTGTAGTTTATATATAACATATAAATGTGATATGACTTCTCCCTAGAGGCTCACAAGTTATCTATTTTTGTGACCTAGCAGGCAATGCAGATTTCTACTACTCTCTATTACAGCTGTTCTTATATATTTTGAACCATTTGGTAATTCAATAAGTTTATAATTTCAGTAATGATAATAATATATATGTTGTATATCAAAATAAATTTTGCATAAGATCAAAATTTAAATACAAGATTTCATCAAAGATATTAAAATTTAATTAAATATAGGTTTTAAAACTTGCAAAAAAAAAATAATTAATTTATGTATAGTGGAAACTTTTAAATAAAATAATATAATATATAAAGTCTTATTTTTATTTTGTAACATAGTTTTGACAAATATTAATAAATTTTTTTAATTCAGTCAATAAATTCTTAATCATATTGAGCTTTTTTTTTATTAGTGTCTCTTGTGTAATATATTTACTATAAAAGCTAATCTTATATTCATATTCTTTTTATATTTAAAGAACAATCTTTATTATAAATTCTTATACAAGCTAAACTTACCAAACATATTTAAATAAAAACTTAATTTAAATATGTTAATATTATTATATCATTCTTAAGATATTATCACTATGAAGTATAAATATATATAGTTTTATATACTAATTACTCAAGTTAAAAGTTTATCACTATTATATTAAAAGCTTATCGAATCGGCCAAACAATAATTTAGTCAATTTTTTATCTGATGTTTCAAAATTTATGAAAACAGCTGTAAATTATATAATAAACAACATTTTCTTTATCAAATCAAAAAAGCACAAAGATCAAAATTTAGTGCAAACTTTAATTTATCTAATATTCAATATTTACAAATGTTCTTGTATGACTAAAATTTTGTGCTAAAAACTTTTTTAGGAGCCAAACAACAATGCATTTCAAATTTTTTAAGTTATAAAAGCCTTGTAATTTTATTGTCTACAATCAGCAATAATTAACATAAAGAGTAATAAAATCACAAGTATATATATAAGAAAGAAAAATGTATAATCCAAAAATCTAATATCTGATTGGTTAACATGATTATAGTTGTTACATATTTCTTATTTTTTTATCTACTATTAAATTATGAATTCATATTATCGAAGATATGAATATTTTGACACAGGTTAAATAGTGAGTCAGTTGCTTGATGATGGAATATGTTGTATAACATATGAATGGCTTAGTTGATAAGAAGCAGTTAGATTTGATGAGTAGTATATTTATGATCATAGGTTTTATAATGTATTGTCAAAGAAACAGAAAAGTATTTGGGTTAAAATGTATTGCAAGTATAAAAAAACTACTGTTTAGATAGAGCTCAAAGCCTTTATTATATATCATTAGATTACTTATGCACTCCTACAGCTATTAAAGATATTAAACTTATTATTTATTATATATACTTTTAATGTCTTATATTACTTAAATCTCCTATATATTATATATTCCTTTATTTATAGTTTTCTCTTAAAGTCCTTATTACCACTATTTTCCTTCTATCTTTTAACTAATTTTTATGACTAATAATCTCAGAAAATCTATTTTAGGTAGATAATTGACATAGCTATTATTTGCATTACTGCCACATTGATTATTTCCCACCATGTGCTTCTGGGATTGCATTTCTACTGCTCACAATATATATGATGAACACCAACTGTTGAAATAGCTTCTAATTTTCTGATTATAGTAATAATGATTATTTGGCACCTTACTATAATTATATTAACAAAATGACTTGAGTACTTTTGGTAATAATTGCATTATCATCAAATAACAAAGTTATTTGATAATGATGTGATCATCATCAAAATAACTTGAGTTATTCTGTTGATACAATTATAGTAAGAAGCCAGATAATTTCTATTATTTGCTGCTTCACATCTAATAATTATACATTATAATAATAACAGAAATAAAGATGCTATTGAAACACAAATAAGAATGTCTCATGTTTTCTAAAATAAGCAATTATTTGATTCAGAACCTTGAGTAATTGGCATTTGAAAAATGTATACTGGTTGGGTTTGGATAATGATTCGGTTGATAGTTCAGATAATCATCTGAAAAATTACTTATTTTTTTTAACAGATTTTAGATATACATATGTATAATTTTTTTTACATTAATATAAGTTTTTTCAATTAACTAAAGCAATATTGCATTATTTTATATGCTTTATAGCACTTATACAATGCATATAAATGTTACAAATAAATAGCTTTTAATATTTAACTAGTTATTTTCTTTATAAACTCTAATTCAGTTTGTTTTCAGCAACATTTTTTGATAAATTATGTATCCTTTTTGTGGTTGATCTTTTTTTGCATATTTTCATTTCAGATAGATCGATATTTTCTTTTAGAACATGTGATTTTTTTTGTTGAATTGATGCAGATTGAACTCTGATCTTTGATCCACTTCAAAAATTTGTTACTTGTGATGAAAAATTTTGTTAAAACAAATAGGATGTTAGCTTGCCTACGATAAAATTTTGGATTTTTCATATTCCTTTTTGAAATGTTCAATGCTAGCAAGAAGTTTGCTATTATTTTTAATATCCTCAACAATACATTGAAAAAACTTTTCTACAAATATTATACATTCATTTAGATCTTCACTGCTATTTAATTATCAAATAAATTTTAAATATTATAAATTATATATAAAATTATTTAGAAGATTAAAATACCAACCTAATTTCAATATCTTCTTTAGATGGTTAAATATTACATATTTTTTATTTAACTCAATAATTGTTTTATTACTTTGTTCAATAATTATTTCATTATTCAATTTATTAGATACCTGTAAAGATGTATAAAATGTTGGATCTTCAACAATTGCATCTTAAAATTGTATTTGAAAATTAATATTTCTAATACATATATATATATTTATTTACTATACTAATCATATACAATATATTTATATTTTAAACAGTTTTTAAGAGAAAGAGCTGAAATATAATTGAAAAATCCTGCATGATATTTTATTGCAACTGCTGCTTAATATTTATAGGATGTTCTACCAAGTGCAACAAAACATATATATGTGCCTATAGATGAATTAACAATATAAAATTTATTAGAATTCTCACTTGGTACAATATAAAGACTAATTAAACTATTATATTGAATTTTTTGTAAATCAATTTGTTATCATACAGAACAAAGAAATTATTTTGATAATTTAAGATGACCTGGATGACAGTTTGCAATTGTCAATAATTAATATTCATAAAAATGTTTTATATTTAATGTAATAAAGTTATATATTTGTATAGCATTATATGTCTAAATTCGAGCAAAAACTATATCTTTTAAAAGCCTAAAGCTTCTTTTGATATAGTTATTTGTATGATTTCCTCACATTAATAAATTTTGATAATATAATATTGCCTATGTAGTCCATTATTTTCAAAGATGTAAAACATATGCTGCAAGTTGTATATACTTGACAAAATAATTGTCTTTTAAATTATCAAATGTAATTTCCATTTCAAAAATAGTTGGTGCATATAATACTTTTTTTTGAATGATTGTATAATTAGTGCTCTATCATCTTTATGAATTTTATGTTTCAAGTTATATAACCAACACCAAAGTGCTTGTAAAATATAGAAAATATAGAGTAACCTAATGCAATTTGACTAGCAGAGTGATAGTATATTGTGCTCTGCATAAGAATGATTTGTTATAATAACTGTAGGTTCAAGTTATGATCCGCAACCATAAAATGAGTTATCAGATAAAATATTTTTAAACAAATTGAGAGCATTTTAGATAGTAACTTCAGATTTATCTAATGTTAAAAATAATTCTAATAATAATGCTCTGACAGCACAATTCATATAAAGAAGTATAAGTAATGTATTAAGATTATCAAAAGATATTGATACATCAAAATAATATAATTTACTAACTTGATATATTTGTTCATAAACCCATTTCATCAAATTTATCATAATACAGAGAATAAAAGAGGTTTGCTTCAAAGGATCATATATATGAAATATTATTTTTTTATTATTAGAATTGTTGTATAAAATTACAACATCTTGTAAATGACTAAATATTTCTTTCTCATTTGGATCTTCTAAATGTATTATGTGAAATTTATTATAAAAGTATTTTATAAAACCTCTATCCAGATTTTTTGACCTATCAGCTAATAATCATACTAATTCGTTACAACTAGATGCTTATAAATGTAATTCATTTTTATAAATATAATGTGCAATAGCTATTGAATATTTTATTTTAAATAAATCAATGTATCTTTTTTGATTCTCAAGACCAACTGATCGAAAGCTTAATGAAGCTGCAGAATTAGGTAGATGATTATAAATAAAATGTAAATTGACTTTAAACAAATTAGATTTTTTTAACTTAAGGTTAAGTATAATAGTACAATTAATGTTTCTATTTCTTAAACCATGTGGGTTTCTAGTTTCAAATTTACTATTTTTTTGTATTACTAAATTACTATGAATATAATGTCTCATCTTTCTAAAAATGACTTTGACCCCTTTAACTGGATATGTTCTAATTAGATGTATCATCATTTTTGAAATTTTTGAAACTTATCAATCCATTTCAAAACATCCTTTTTAGTATTAATGTTTACTAATAAGTCTATGACAATTTGTCCAATTGTCATGTTTTCCAAAGTGATTTTAGGTTCTAATTCATCGTAGTTTTCAACTTGATACTCATAGGCCAGTGGAAGTATTTGTTAAAGTGGCGCAGGTAGATCCAATATATTAGATAGTTCATTTGGATCCTAAATTTATATGATTTTAACTCGTAAAACAGCAAAATAATAATTTGCAACATTAAAATACGTGCCTGCAACGAACTTTGCATTTTTTTTTTTCGTAAAAAAGAAAAATTCAAAAATATTATTTAAATAAGCGTATACTATATTAATTACAATAATACGTAATTTATTTTTTTAACTTTTAATTAAAAGTTGCGTAATTTCGATATAATTCCGATCGTTCTGTAATTCCGATCTAATTATCCGGACGATCATCCGGACCCAACCCGGTACACATTTTCCAGGTGCGAGTGACTGAGACTTGATGGTAAGGCTGGAGATATCGATATTAAAGCTGGGAACTCAATGATAAAATTAGATACCTTTTTTGATAAATATATAGAATTGCTATGGCCTTTGTGACTTCAGAGCTACTAGCCTGGGTGATGATAATGCCTTACGAATTATTTAGATAATGCGAATTATCCTCTTTTTTTTTGACTTCATTTTTTTCACAATGCTAATAATGAATTTCTGTGTCGTTCTTTAACCATTAAATAACTGTGAACATTTTTTTTAGTATTCTTTTTTGAGTGTTATTTTTATAGGAAGTATTATAACGGAACTTGTTAAAGACGATTTAGAAAAATTTGTTATTAATAATTTTATATCGAAGAAATTTTTAATGTAATTATTTATCTATTTCTTAGCAGAAGTAAAAATACATTACTTTTATAGCTTTATATTATCATAAGAACAGAAGGAGCTTTTGATTTTAACATAATGCGCAATCTTATTACTTTGCAAAACATTCTACCCACGACCTCCTAATGCTGCGAATTTTACGATCGAAGGTTACTTAATGTTTATCAATTCGAAGCTATGACCTAATAATCACAAGATTCTAATACAGTATGCCTAATGCCGAAAAAGTCAATGATTCATCAAAATATAATAAAGTTACCCGTGTCCTGTCCGTAGGGTTGTGTTACAAAAATTACAATTTTACATTACATGTAATTTTACGTAAGTTACAGAAAATCAATTTTCATGTAGGGTTGTCAAATTACCGTAATTTTGTGAAATTTTGTGTAAGTTTTCAGTAACATGGTTTTCATGTAATTTGTAAGAAACGTGATCATATGCTCATACGATTGGTTGGATCATATGTACATCGATCTGGTCCGTGAACTTTATGCAGAATCTACTGTAGTTCAATAATGCTAGCTGAGTTTTTCATAGCGCCGGTACTATATATCACGTGTGAAATTTACATGAAATCTATGTTACTGTAACTTACATGAAATTACATGTATTGTAAATTTGTAAAATGTAATTTCCAACCTTATTTTCATGTTAACTTTCACACGTCATACATAAGTACCAGATTTACAAAATTTCGGCCAGCATTATTGCGCCGAAAATTTGATCTCAGAAACTAAATATCATGTGTTCAAAATTACAATTACATGAAATTTCAATTTACAGAATCTTATACAAACTTATGTAAAATTACTGTAATTTAACAACCCTACCTGTCCGCGCAAAATATTTGATTGATTAGAACTAACTTCTTACATATGAGTGAATTCTGTATGTCATAGATCTTATCTGTTACGTATCTGTTATGTAACTGATTACGTACATACAGTACAGTACGTACGTAATGTGTTTATTTATTGCTATGCTAATACTTCTGTACATACGTACATAGTATAGAGGTTTATTATCTTACTTGGTACTATAGAATTGCCTGCTTTTAGATCTTTGATATTTTCTAATTTTTTCGTCGAATTTTTTTAGCCAAAATTTTTTATCTGGCAGATGAAATTCATCATTGATTAATTTTTCGTAACTATACAAAATTAAGTTTTCTACTTAGAGCTATAATGTAAAAGCTAAATGAGTCATTTTAGCTAAAACGAAAAGGAAATAGAAAGGATGGTTAATAATTGGCACTTATGATTAAATCCTAACGTTCATCAAGTTATATAGCAGCATTTAAACCTATTTTTTTAGTATACTGTACGATCAACAAATAAGTAATGTAATAAAGTCCGCACTTATTCCTGTTTCGCATCATTTCTTAATTCTTGACGTGTCATTTTTAACTTAAAAATGACTTACTAATTCAATTAAATTAGGGGAATTTACAAATAAGGGCCCGGAAAATGAAAATAATTACAAATACGGGCCTAAATTAAAAATAATTACATATGAGGGTCTAGTTTTTAAAAAATATTACATATAGGGGCCTAAGTCTATTGATGGATGAAAAAACATGATCACGGAACTACTGTGCCACAAGTACTCTGACCATTTAACTTATAACAATAGCAAAATCGCGATTATAGGATTATTGTTGTTTTATTATAGGCACTTGGAGTTATCTAGATATAAATTATTAAATAAAAAATAATGAAGCGCCGGCTACAATCATAAATATTGTATAAAAATAGTGTTAAACTAGCACAATTATTTATAAGATGAAGAAGTAGCTCTCAAGAGCGCAATGCTTTACTTGATATCATAGTGTTTGTTATAACGATAACCGACTTTATACAAGAAAATGAAATTTATTAAATTTAAAAAATTCTTTTTTCGTTTATAATTACTAATTTACAATCGATGCTTATATTCTTATGCAATAACGATCAAGCCATAGGATTGAATAATGTCACTGTTATTTTGGGCCCTTATATGTAATATTTTGTAAAAATTAGGTCCTTTTATGTAATTATTTTTAATTTGGACCCGTATTTGTAATTATTTTCACTTTCCGGGCCCTTATTTGTAAATTCCCCATTAAATTAACATATTCAAATCTACGAATATGTGCGAAATATATATTATCATGCAATAAATTTGTTTTGTATTGAGCATAAAAATTTTTCGATTGTGGCTTAATTATTATTTGTATTGATCTTTTTTAAAATAATGGTCCTATTTGGAATGAACATTCTTGAATATTTTATACTATAAAGGTTTTTATATCTGCTAAAGTCTTTAATAATACGAACTATGCATGTAGTATTTTCTTAGGTCTATTTACAGCGAAGATTGTGATTTTTAATATAGTTAACCATTCATCATATAAATTCATAATAATTCTGTTTTTTTAAACTCTGTTTATTTTTCATTGGTCATTATAGATGCCAAATATTCAATTAAAGATACAGATTAAGGTATAGCTGACAATCACAACCTGTATAGCTATAAAACATATATAGGGCGCCCCATTTACTTATGTAATTTTGTAAATTTCTTTTTAAATTAACTAAACAATTAAGCGATATTTTCTTAGAGCTAGATATGATTTTGAGTATAGCTTTTATCGAAGGTATTGAATTAAAACTGTATTGTACAATCTTGAAGGTAAAAACATAAGTCTCGAAACTATAACTTTAGTTATTTAAGATAATATATTAAGTTATAAATTATAATGTATATGTCAACACCTGCCTCAGATGCAGATCGCCAGGTGAATTATCTAAGCCATGATCTGACGAAAAATTAAATAAATTGAATAAGACCTTTTACTTGGATCTCTTCGCCGTTTTCGCACTGGTAGCATTCGTAACTTAAATCACTTTGGTGCCTTTCTTAACTTCGGTAGTATTCTATATTTTTTAAATCACTTTGGAATTGTCTTACCTCCAATAGAATTCTTGAACCTCTGGTATTTAAAACCAAAAGTAGCATTCTTTCACATTAAGTCTGTCTCTTCAGTATCTTTGTTTTTTTGAATTTTTTGTCGGCACATTCTATTTCCAATTAATGCGCACATTATTTCTCTACATAAATAATTTTTTTTTTTTTTTGCCTGAATTTTCGCGGCATGTTCTTTCTAAGTTTTTTTTCAGCACGCTAAATCTTCAATAATTTCTATACATATAATTTTTTTGTGCTTATTGACCGATCGATAAGTTACGCACAACATATACAATTTTTTGATTTTCTCCGTTATACAATAACTTTCTGGTTATCAAATTAGAAAAATTAATAACTTGTCTATTAATAATGGTAAAGGATAATATGTTTTTTAATTGCTTAACATTATTATATTTTATTGACAATGATAACTTCAAATAGTTAAAATTATTTCAATTGTAGTATACTGTATTCTCAAACGCTGTCTTTCACCAACGAGTTTAAATCAGACATGTAGGTTGTTGAACTTGTCAAACTCCATATTGTGGGGCGAGTAAATTGTCGGGAGTTTGCTGTTGTAGGGCGTATTATTTGGATTCTTATGACTCATAATTAGAAACGCCAACAGGACAAGTTTTGTTGTGCGATATCTGAAAACGTGACCGATTATCACGTGAAGTAGATCCCGAATGTCAGATATGTCAGATATATTTGATATATCAAATATAGCTCATATATCGCATAAGTAGAATATATGAAATAGATACGATATATAGGATACATTAGATATGTTCGAATATTAGACAAATTCATAATGTAAATAGAAAAAAGAGTTTTATTATTAATAAAGGGCAATTCGCCCAGGAAAAAAGGCCAGTGATTACAATTGCGAAAACAATAAACTAAATGCCCGACCTATAATAAAAGTAAAAGTTTTGTCTTATATAAGCTAGCAACTATCGTTAATCCCGTTACTAACACTACCGACATCCCAAGAACAACTAAACCCGTGATTGATCGCTCGCCATAGTCACGTGCCCAGTACACCATAACGCAAGAGAGAAGAATTCCAACCCCGATTCGACGTAGTGCAATCCCGGGTTGAGACATAAAGGAAGATAAGAATTAGAATAAGTTTAAGGAAAGATTCAAAGAGGAGACCAGTACTTACCTACGGACAAGAATCCACCAGCCGAATCTAACACGCCTATTTCGACTTAGCCGCCGTAAGGTTTCCTATCGTTGGTTACGCGAGAGTTGGATTGGATTAGCGACAGACTCGTCGAATTCCGAGACGGCACTATTAAAAATCATGATCTAGGTTCATTACAGGCCATAATTGTTTCTACAACTTGAAAAGTCCTACTAGTTGCAGGGACAACAAAAGGGATTTTAACTTTGTCATCCTGAGAATAATGGCTCAAATTGTCATGCTGCCTTTATGGAAACAAATCAATAATGCTCATTCTGGTACTTGTTTGTTGGTCCGAGACAGATAAGAATGAAATATTCGTTGGATGATGATGTGCATTTTCCGCTATAAAATTTGAACGAGGTGCAAGATATTATTTACGGTGTTTCTAGGAATATATTGTCTAATATCTTTTGCATGATCAACTATTTGTATACTGTTTATTGGTCGACTTGGCTCTGAGTCATAATTTTCAAATCTGGAAAATTCGTGTAACAAAGATCAGCTATAATACATATAATATTAAACGCTTATTTACAGGATCATATCACTTACCGTTTATATTCTTTCCTTTTTTTTTATACTCCAGTTCTAATATTGCCATATGGCTGTGGTGTTTTATTCTATCAAGTGGTCATTGAGCTGTAATCATAGTCTTTGAGTCACGATTATGCCAACTCCAAAATCAATAAAAGAATTGTCATAGAGCTGATACTACAGCCCGTGAGCCACAATTACATTCAGTTTAAAGATGCTTGTCAACCTATTTTTGAAATGACGAAAGGTTTCGCCGAATTACACACCTGACGAAACCCCTGACGATTGACAAAACTCCTGACGATTGACGAGACCATATTCAACCAATGAAAAATCAAAATACAGTTAACTATCTTTTGTTTATAATGACTCCGAATATGCTAAATCTTAAATTTTTTGCTAAAGATATAAAGTTTTGCCAGTTCATATGGGCACTAGAATTTTTTAATTGACAAAACTTTACCTTCTAAATTATCGGTTCATTATACCTGGTTATACTTGTCGCCAAATCCCAAACTATTTCAAAATATATTGAAAGAAGTACAGCAAGAGTTATCAAATTTTTTAAAGGTTTTTCTATAACAAGCAAATTTCGGATCTCCAGTCTCAAGACTTTGTTCATACCGAAACTTTACTTATAGGTCATTATCATTGTCGACTCATGACAATCCGAATTTCGATGTTATATTTACAATTTCTTAAATTGCTAGATTTTTTACATTTATTTGTTCTATTGGCTAATAAATTTCGTCGTAACTTTCATCAACCGTCAATTCTTAATTTCGAAATTGGCATGATGAAAGGTTTCGTCAATAGTCAATGACATCTTTATCAACTATGTTGCATTTTAGGCATTGAAGATCACTTCAGATTTGAACCAATAATATCACTGATCTCGTGTAGCACAACAAACTTGGAAAACATAAGAAATTGCAAAGAATTGTAAATAATGCGGAAATTTTACTATGACAACTGACTTTCGATCTTTAAGTATAAGTTTTCGGTGTGAAATTTTAGTCATAGAACGCATTTTAAATACATACTAAATATATAAGACAGGTTTGATATATTACGGACGGAAATTTTGATGCTGAAGTCCAAAATTTGCTTTACATAAGGATACCCTCATCAATGTCTTCGTAATGTAATTCGGCGCAGAGAATGCGAAATTGTCAAATATCTCAAAAATGACTTATGTTTATAAGGACCCTTAAGTTCTATCCTGGGCATTAAATTTCTGAACATATAAAACACAAAACTGTTTCCCGTGTAACAATTCCTCAGATTTAAGAAAAAAGATGATCATAATTTCAAACAAGTCGGATTATCATTATACCTTCTAATACAAATTAGTCATAAACAACCCAATATAAGAACTAAAATAATGGTACAAAATACATGTAACTATTACTAAGAATTAAAGAGTCAAAGATTTAATTAAGAGTTAGTAATGATTGGATATAGCCTTCTATATAAAATCGACCAGCTGATTTAAAAAAAAATCGACTACCAGGTCAGAAATCCGACTTTACTGAATTTTTAAAATATATTCGATCCTCTACAATTGAAAGAATGATCGGGGTATTTATATAGGCATCTAATAAAAGCATAAGTTAAATAAATTAAATTCAAATTTGTTTTTTGACGAATAAATTTAGCAAATACTTACAACCAACAAAACTGGTACGAGCATTTGCAAGTCATATGATTACATCCTTCACCTTTCTCGATAAGTCTGAAACAATTAGGGCATCTCTTTGTATTTCGCAACAAATAGTCTTCGGTAGCAAACTCTGATTGTTTCATGTCCTCATCGTATTCCCTGCAAGTTTTACCCATGTGCCAGATAACTTGGTGTATGTAACATGATTCTTTGCCACAATTTTCACAGATGACAATTGGTGCATTGTCTATAAATATTAAGAGAGAATGTACCTCTTAATTAAAGAAAATATAAGTTCTTTTTTATGTTGTAGGCGGTACCTTTTCCTATATGGATTTGTCCGGCACCGCAAGGAGCTTTACACCATCTGAACTCCGGAATTTTTTGAATTGCAATTCTGAAGGCAAGCGAATCATACCTAGAACAAAAAGAATCGAATATATTACTATATTAGTATAATACACCTCTTGATATAAAGAGAAGTTGTCACCATACCTTTCAAAAAGTTCTTCCGTTGCAATACTTTTAATATCGTACCTTTCCATTATTTTTTTGCATCCTTTTGTTGGACAAGGAATTAACAGTTCTTGCTTTTCATCAAGTTGTTTTTGAACATGTTTATTTACACATTCCTTACAAACAATGGCTTGATGAGTACACTTTGAAGTTATTTTACGAAAATCTCTATTCTCCGTTTCGAAACAGATATTGCATTCGCTTAAGTTATTCATATTTTCATAAAAAAAATTTTAAATGAATTCTTTCGAGAAATATAATATTTAAATGTACCCATTACCAATATAATTTAAGACTATTTTTTTAATTCAAAAGAATTTGAATTAGTGAATTGACTCGACTATAACATGGTTTATTATTGATCGAGTTAAGAGCATGATTTTGTGACTCGATCGTGAGTCAATTGTTGATCGATAAGAAATTCTCGTATGATACATTATTATTGATCGATTTACTGTATATATACTCGAACTTATAAGTTACATGCTTGATCGATTAAACAGAATTTTTTTTTTTAGTCAATAATCGACCAATGATTTTTTTTGCCAAATTCATTAATTTGAATGTATACTGTAAGATGTGACAAAGTTATATTTTATATTTCGGAGTAAATCAAGGTTCTATATCCTTCCTATCTATAAATACGAATTATCTCAAAGCCAGCAGAATAATACTCAAATAAAATCTTTAACTATTCAAAAGAAATGGCACAATTCACGGTATTACTTCTTAGCGGTGAGGATTTTCAAACATCGCTCGAGATTTGTCTTAATGATACTATTTATCAAGTGAAACAAAAAATACAAAACAAAAACAACATTAAGGTTGAAAATCAAGAATTATTTCTCGGTGATAAAAGACTCGAAGATAATCAAACAGTAGAGAGTTATAATATTGGTTTGCATGAAAAAATTAGGCTCGTTAAAAAGTATGAAGGCTCCATGCAAGTATACATTAAGGATAATAGTAAATCAACAGCTATTCTCAGCAAACCATCTAGTACTGTATTTGAATTGAAACAAACCTATGAATTGAAATCAAACATTCCAGTAAATGAACAGAGGCTTATACATAGAGGCAAACAGTTAGTGGATTATAAAAAACTGTCGGATTACGGAATTACACATGGGTCATTTGTTACACTTTTCATGAGATTGAATGGAGGCCTTTGAGTTGAGAAAAGTATTTGCTTTTTTTTTTCTTTTTGCAACAAAATAGAATAATTTTGAATCAAATATTTTATTTTATTTATAAAAATATTAAATATTATCCGGTTTACATGGTTTTTTATGAAGATGTAACTAATAAATAGTCAATTTTTCACATGCTATCCAAATTTATTTTTTTAACAGAACAATGACACTCACATATAACCTGACGATATGGGCTGTTCCCATAGTCATGTGATATGAATTTGATCGACCAAACACATATAATACAGTATTTAATTTTTCTTAGTTAAAACTAGGCGCTTGAGTTGCTTAAAATGAGTTAAAAATGATTGTAGTGTATCGATTGCACTAGTGCATTAAGTATCAAATTTAATTTAGTTTGCTGCAGTTTTTCTTGTGTACTTCCGAATAAACATTTATACATTAATATTTATATTAACGGGTCCTGAAAAAATACAACTGTGTGTACTAAATTAAAGCCCATTGATTATTGTTAAATACGATTAACATTGTTTTGACATTTTTGTTATAAATGTTTGTAATTTATTGATTAAAGTATACATATATATACATTCGCTTCAGTAATTTGTGATTTATCATAGTTCTTGATCGCATCTCTTACTCAGATAGATTTAACCAGCAAGTTTAAGATTATCTATTGCATTATGATAATTTATTGGTTAAAATTTGGTCACTTAGATTCAGTTTCATTTTTTTTATGTTGAAAATGGTTTAATATAATAAAACTGGATTGAAATGTTATGATTACCAGATCCAAGTACATAGTTAGTTTCCAATTTAAATGTTAGTTATCAAAATTTATTATAATGTTAATGTGTTTAACTTAATATTCTATTATACTAAAAGTATTCTTTCATTTAATGAAAAGTATTATTAAGTTATCTATTTATGATTGGATGTTTTTCAGCCTATTTTTATTGAAGATTATTGCTTACTTTAAAGATATTAAGTTATAAATATTTTACAGAGCAAAAAAGTATCATAAGATAGTTTTAGGTTATTCGTTATAGCAGTAGTTGTGCAAATTTATTCATTATTATATTTTTCTTAGAAAATAAATAAGGCATAAATAATCAATTGATATTAAATGGAGACCATTCAAAGCCTGGAGGATTTTTGTTTATGTTTCACATGATCTAGCCAATAAACATTGATCATTCAATCAAAATTTAGAATTTGTTAACACATGTACATTAGATGTACTATTGCTCTGCCTGTAATGTCTTTTGAACAATTCATATTTACTTATTATAATATGCTAAAAAAACAAAAAAACAAAAAAATAATTCTATAAAAAACTTGTTATATTGATAAATAAAATATTTTGATTAGTTAGAATTAATATTTGTTAAGATATTTACTTGTATATGATATAGCTGTAAAAAATAATAACTTACTGTATTTACAAACAAAATATTTTGATTGGTTAAAAGTAATGTTCATTAAGGTATTTACTTGTATATAATATGTTTTTTAAAAAAAAAGAACTTATAGACTGTATTGACAAACAAAAGGTTTGGATTAGTTAGAATCAACATTCATTAAGGTATTTATTTGTACATGATATGCTGTAAAAGAACTTACAAACTGTATTGACAAAAAATTTTTGAATTAACTAGAATTAACATTTGTTAGAGTATTTACTTATACATAATATGCTATAAAAAAAAATATTATTAATTCTATAAAGAACTTAATTGCTGTATTGATAAATAAAATATTTGGGTTAGTTAGAATTAATATAATATGTAATTAATTTAAAAAACAAATAAATATTTAATTTTTTACAAATAGTAAATAGAGTAAATAGTAATTTAGTAAAACATTTTATGTTTATTAAAAATATCAAAATATTATTAAACTTTTTCTAAATTAAATATTAGTATTTATAATTTTTTTTATTTATATCTAAATTTAAATTTATAAAAATTTAAAAAAATTAAAAATTTAAAAATTATAAAAGAATTTAAAATTAAAAACCTAAAAATTACAAAAAAATTAAAATTAGAAAACTTAAAAAAAATATATAAACCTAAATTCTTAAAATTCAATTTTTATTTTATATATTATATTAGAAAATTACTTCTTATCAGTGATTTATAATAATTAAAATTAAATTTTATCAAAGCAAAAATCAATTTTTTTTGATATTTAGAGTAAGGTTTAAAAGCTTGAATTAAAATAAAAAAAAGACTATACTTAGAATTCTATAGAAAATTTTTTTATTAAAACCCCAAAGTAGTTTTGTTAATAAAACTTTATTTTATATTATACACTGGTAATGATCACCAGTAATGATAAATAACAAATCTCATTATATCATATATTATATTATTAATTAAGTTTTATTATTTTTATATATTAAATTATATATTATATTATTTTTTATATTTTATTTATTATACATATATATTGTTTATATTACTCATAATTTTATAAATAAATATTATATTTAATAAGTTATATTTAATATTAGTATTAAATTAATCTATATAACAAATTAAATCTACTAGAAAATGATAAAATAATATTCATAACATAATATATTTTAATCAAAGATATCTAATTATAGCAGTTTGCAAAAAGGTGTGACCCAATGATTTTCATGATGATGATGACAGAGAATCTTTGTGATTCTAAATAGGAAATCTAAATTTAAGAATCATTAAGAATTATTAAGAATTTATATAAAAAATTATATAATTATTTGATCAATGATCAAAAATAATTAATATAAAAAACTATATTATGTATTTATTATATATAAATTATTATTCATGTATGTATATTTTTCTTGAAAAAAAAATGGTTGATTTTTAAGAAACAAAATTAAAATATTGTCAAGAAACTTGTTTTAGTTGCTGAAAATACATGTATTGTAAACTTGATTTGTGACAAGAAAAATATAATTGTAACTTGTCTAATGTGCTATATAAAAGTAATCAGATAGATGCTATCAAATATGCATTTATATGAATATTTAATCCAAATTAAATAAAAGAAAAAGTAGAATTTGTTTAACAAAGAATAAAATATTATAATTATTTATTGAGTGCAAAAGAGGTTTTTAATTTTACTTTGTATACTTGATGCAATAGTATTTTATTAAGATTATCTTCAAAAGTAAAAAAGCTTAAAGCATCATCAAGTTCTATACTTGATAATGATATCGATAACTCTTCTAAATTAGAAACATGTGATCTTATTATAGTAAGTGAAGCTTCTGAATCTGAAGAAAAATTTGATTGGAAGAGCTTCTGAATCTGAAGAAAAATTTGATTAGAATCCTAATAAAAAAGAATATCATAAAGATGAATATGAATCTAATGATAATGAGTTTTTATCTGGTAAAGAAGTTGAATATGAATATAATTATGGAGTTTTTATTAAGTTTGAAAATGAAACATCTCATCCATCAAAATAGTATACAGCTAAAGTATCTATGATTGATGAGCTATTTTCAGAAATTTATATAAATATTGAAACTTTAATAAGAAAAAAACCAGTTGATTCAAATAATTATCATATTGCATTCAAATCTAAAAAGACAGCAGGAGTGGGTATTCAACTAGTTGATGCTCAAGACTTTAAAAAATTTCAGGCTGATTACCAAAAATATAAATCTAAAAATATCAATATAGCCTTTTTTATAACATTTATTAGGTTAAATCTAAAGTGCAAAATAGATATAAGTACAGTATAGTAAAATATTTTATATTATATATATTTATTATATATAATAATATAAATAGTTTTAAATATTCATTTAGGATTGTAAGCCTAATAATAATTCAGATGATGATATTGTTACAGATTTGAGAAACAAAAATTTTATTCCTAAAACTTCAAATCTATCTTCACTCAAAACATCAATTACAAAAAATGTCTTAGAAATTTATAAAGAAAATCATTGCACAATTTATAATTGATCATGTTTAAATAAAGATGAAGCTAAAGAAAATCATGTTGAAATTACTTTCATGATGCTTTCAATTTGGGCATCTGAAATTATAAGTATATAACCAACTTTTATAATGTATAATTTATTTTATATTATAATTAATTTTAAACATATATAAAATAAAGCAATGGCATTACCAACAGAACTGTCTACACATTCTTTGTTTGTATATAAATATTTAACAAAAACAAAAATATCATCACAATTGTAATCTAGTTCTATACAATTTAATCAATTTAATTTGATACAACAACCTAATCTAATGCAACAATTTGATTTGATGCAACAATCTAATTTAATACAACAACTCAATTTAATACAACAATCTGATATAATGTAACAATCTAATTCGATACAACAATTTAATCTAATGCAACAATTCAATTTAATGCAACAACCTAATTCGATACAACAATCTAATATAATACAACAACCTAATTCAATACAATATTCTAATATAATGCAACAAGCTAATCTAATGCAATAAGCTAACTTAATGCAACAACCTAATTTTATTCAATCTTCACTTTTTTTGAGTCAACATTATATGTTATCTTTATTTTATAATCTATTTTTAACATATATTCCTTTACAAATTTATAGACATCTTTTCAAATGCCAATTTAATTATCTTTACAATAAACATTATCTATAATCAAAAATTTTTTAAGAAATATAGATGAAAATGAAGATACTAAAGATTATTATCAGAAATTTTTATTAAAATTTGAATAACAAAAAATTTCTGTATGATTACTTTTTGAATTATCAAATAAAGACTTTAAAAAATGTGAAGTAGATACTATTAGTGCATGCCAAACTCTTCGTAAATATGCTGCAAAGTATATTGTATTATCATAACAAATTGTAAGTTAAATAAATATTTATTTATAACCCATTGTATTAAAGAAATTATTAGAATATGAGAGGATAATTTGAGAGCATGCAACTAATAATGGATATATAAGATCTAAACAGCTTTCTATAAAATACTGATATCATCTTAAATAATTTTTTATATATGAAAAAACAAATTCTATCAGATTGAGATCAGGTGAATAAGAAGAAAAAAAACTCTATATATACTTCAAATACATTTAAATATTCAAGCAATCTATCATTATGATGGATTTTTGCATTATCAAATACTAAAACACTTTGTTTATATGAAAATAAATTCATTTGAGACAGCTAAAAATAATTAAAAAAATTGGTTAAAAAAAAAATATATATATATATACTATATACAAATATTATAATATATTTTTTATATATATTTCAATACATACTATTTAAGAAATTACAAATTCTTTAAATCACTCTTTTGTGCAACTACTCTCTATAATATCAACAGCAATTATACCATTTAAAATTAATGTAGCAAAAATGTGTAATGCTTGCCATATAAAAACACTATTTTTTTGATTGTTCTTGTATTAATTTTAGAATAACCATATTCTTGAGAAATAGTTCATTCATCTTTAAATAATTCATTCAGAAAAATTAATTGGTTACTTTTATATTGAGAACCAATATGGACTATAAAGGTACTGTGAAGTAATTTATTGCATTCTTTTGCTGCTTTATATAACTGAAATAAAAATTAAATAAAAATTATATTTTATTTATATTAATTTATATAATTATATAAAATAAATACTTTTTTTTGTGTTATTTCACAATAAGCTAATGAATGCCAAATAGTAGAAATTAAGATATTTTTGTCATATCAAATTTACATTTGTTTAACAATTTCATCAAGATACATATCTGGATTTTCTTGAACAATATTTTATAATATCTATTATATAATATATAGTATAAATTAATTAATACTATATATATAACAAATATTTTACACCTACATTCATATCATTTTGATTAAAAGTTTTATGCTGTCTAGGTACTTGTTTCCATGAATTTGCTACAGTTCACCATTTTTTATATAACCATAACACTTTCTTTACCAAACCTTTACTAATATAAAGAAGATTTGTAATTTGCAATATTGAATAATTATCATAATATAAAAAAATTATACATCATTTCAAGTCATCACTATACGCAGGAGGCATGTTAACGAAGATTTTTTTGAATTAAAATATAAATATAATGATTATATAAGTGATACAGAAGGAAAGCCTGAAAGCGAATATTTGTTTTCATTGTATACTATGTAATTTATTATTTTCAATTAAATTTTCACTGTACATTACGTAATTTATTATGTTTATTGTATTATTGAAATTACGATCATATTAATACCACTACATATTGTACGTTCATAATATATCAAAAATCTTTAGGATTCTCTAAGAATCGAAAAATCAACTAGAATCGGCTGATTTCTCGTGATTTCACATGACATAATGATCTGCAGAGGTCACACCTTTTTGCAAACCGCCATAACTTAAATAAATTTTTTTATACAATTAATCGATTAATCGGTTAAGTTATCCGATTATAAAATCGATTTTGATTTCAAAATCGATTCCCATCCCTAGTGTAAAGTTCCTAGTGTGGAGTCTTGTTAGTAAAGCTCATATGCAAGAACAATTAAATAAACACACACAAAAAAAATTATATTCACCCAAATCGTAATCCACACCTTGAAGCCTTGTTACACCGAATTGTATCGTTACGCTCGCCGACTTACCCATTTCAATGTGCATAATTTGTATAATTTATAAATCTATAAAACAGTACAACGATAACACAAAATTTAAAGCAAAAAATTAAATTAGAACTTGTAGATATAATTTATAATAAAATTTGCAAGGAATCTTTTTTGCTAGAACTCCAAAATAATTTTATGCAAAAAATTTGTGTATTGTAAGTTAGCATCCGCACGAAGTTTCACCGCTCAAGAAATTTAAGATCAGGTGATAATTTTGGTAAAGTGCAACTTTAGGCGACTGAGGTTGCAACTTTAAGTAGGTGTTAATTTAAGCACAACAACTATACGGATTTTATTATTATTTTTTTTTGTACCATTAATAATTTAATTCATGAAGTTTCACATATGGGTTTATTCCTTAACGTTAAATGGATTAAAATTAAGAGCGTGCTTAATTTGCATATTTATTAAAGGTTTATGTAATTTAGCGCATGTGCGTTGTAACGCACCCACCTGATCAACCAATTAGATCGTAAGATCAGGTATAACGTGAAATCGAAAGATACCGATTTTTCTAAAAATCGCTTGTAGTTCAAAATTTTGCTTATGAAACCACTTTTCGCGTTCTAATAAAAAAAAATTCCTTGCAAAATTTTGATATTAAAATCGGTTTTATTATTACTTAATCCTGACCTATCTTAACACTGGCCATTACCCGCTAATTGGTTTGTTTTGATTTCACGTTACACCTGATCTTATGGGTGCGTTACAACGCATATGCGCAAAATGATAAAAATCTTTATTAAAATTCATGCCATAACATTTTTGATATAAAATCGCATTTACATAATACGGCATTTATGCAACGTCATGTCTAAAAAGAATGATAAATGCACCAAACATTTCACAGCTTTAGTCGTAAGGAATGTGCATTAAAAATGGTCTCTTCTTAGTATGCTCCTCAAGGTCTTTCTCGAGACTATTTCCATACATATCTCTACAATCTTTGTATTCAAACTCATCGGCAGGAACATATTCAACTGTAAAACATCATCTTTTGGTTTCAAATAACAGTTTAACAATTAACGTTAAATCAGAAATTGAAAAACCAAAACTTACGGTGCAATTTAAGTTCTTCAAAACTTTTATCCGAATAATTGAAGGCTATTATCCACCAATAAATCAAAAATATGAGCACAAACATTGTAATAAATAACGAAATTATATCTATCGTATCTGTTTAAATAGATTAAAATTTAAATTTTATATTAAATTTTTTTTATATGAGAATAAAATTAATTTGTTGACTGACTTAAAATTTGTAATCCAAAATTCTGTAATGATAAGATCTCGAATCCTTTTTGGACGGTTCTAGATAATGCCAATTTATTACATTCAATAGGCGGGAAAGGCAAACATAATAATTGATGTAAAATGTATATTATTTGAAATATATGAATAATACAATCCAAAACTATTGCATTATTCGATAATATTCGAGCCTCAAAACATAAATTTATAAAATGCAAACATCAGATTGGTAAAACAGATAAAAAAAATCAGATACATATGAAATTAAGTATGCACTGTTACTTACCCCTATAAATATTGTAAGAAAAGTACATAGTGGAAGTAGTAATGACCAAGGAATGATATCATAAAGTACAGTTAGATCAATTTTACTAATAGTAAGTAAGCACCATTTAGCGGTAAAGAGACAATAGGTAGATATTGTAAGATGGGCACCATAAAATGATGCTTTATAATAAGCGTACGCATCTATAACGAACAAATTGGAAAATTTAATAATTACAATTATATTCCATACCCTTTTTTGATATCGCCACACCACTGCTAACTCTAAAACATAATCAAAACTCTAATATTCTGTATTGATTTTTGCTAACGGGTGTGGAAATATCAACTTATATTATTATACGAAGTATTAAGCACCACAAATTGAACTTACTTTTTAACTTTCTTAAATCTTTTTCTGGCTTTATAATTGTGATAGAAGTCCGATAATTTTTAATAACTAACTTATTTGGTTCATTGTCACTATAAATTGATTTATTACGACTTTTACTATGAATACGTGTTATAAGCGCAAGTGAGCAAATTATAATATCAATTATAAGGACAGCAATAAATATATATAAATGTATTCGCCTATCATCCATTTGATTTTGATTTAGTACTAATAATAAAATTGGAATATAAAAGGAGCAACTAGCGAGAATAATAACAATGATAAGAAGGATAATGTGAATAGCTCGATCACTAAGCTCTAACTAAAAATAAAAGTATAAAGCCCATTAATTTAACAACAATAATTTATAATCTAATTAAAGTTGATCAAAAATTAATACTTACAGCCATCCTTAATGACGCGTTAATAGAAATCTGAGCGTTAATGATATCAATAATTAATATAGCTATTGTCTCATTCCTGGAATATGCATATATATGTGCATATAAAAGAAATGAAATAGCTAATATAAACCGCCAAATATAAGCTACAACTAAAGTTCTAGTATCCCGAATAGCTCTAAAAAAAATTTTAAATATAGAACTGCCTTCATAAGAATCCTCATAGTGATTCTTAGGAAAATCTTCAAGAAATTCCGTAATCAGAGAATAACGATCCTTCATATAATTTATGGTCACCTTATAGTAAATTTTCTTCATACTGAATTAAAATAGAATTAATTAAAAGCAAAATAAAATTTTATAAAGATATACGTATGAGAAACACCAAGCAAAAACCAGGAATTCTAAATATCGATATAGGAGTAATATTATCTCTGTATCGGACATTCCAAAATTAAACAATAACTGCGCCGAAAAATTGCGGGACCGAAGATCACGACGCTATGATCGAGGCTGTGAATCTTCATTATAATCATTATAAGGCTGAGGCTTTGTAATCGTACGATAAATTATGGTATGATTACACAAACGCAATTAAAATACTTCATTATTACGCATGACAGTGTATCACTAAGGAACTGAATTTGGGATAGAAGAAATTGCATGATTTTCTCTAAAATGTTAAAAGTCTTGATGTGAGATAATATATCAAAGCTTCCCTCATTTCTCTACGATGTAAATGTCTAAAAACGATGTATTTCTGTTATTGTAAGAGGATAAGAACCTCATGGTTAATAAAATAAGTAGATTTCGCTAATAAAGCCCAAATATTTTATTACGTACCTTATTTTACCAAATCATTCACGCCATGCCTCTGGCGAACAACTTAATGTTTGATTATTATGAGATTTCTATTCACTCTCAAAACCGTGTAATTACGATTCACCCATAACATAGCGATATATAACATTATTTCTATATTTAGATTTTCCGGTTTTAATTCATGAGTGTCGCCTGAGGAATTCAGTTTAGGATTGAACAATTTAACGCCAGATTCGTGGTTCCATTGCGACACCCTTATGCGTATAGGTTCATATATATGTTGGAATTGACTAAAAGCCTCACGGATAATCAAGGCTAAGCAAGAACGCTAGTTTATTTTTTCGCATTCATTTAGAAGTGATAAATAAGGCTGTGAAGAAAAATTCTAGGTTTAGTTGAGCCGTGTGCTCTTCAATTCTAGAAGGAATATCTATTTATTATGCTCGTGTTGCAACCTCTTTATCTAAATTTTTATGCAAGTCTTCTTTGTAACGATAGATATCTTTAAATTTCTTTAATTAGTAAAATGTTTTCTTTGGATCATTTTCGTCGAAATGAACCAAGTACTTTCATGTTTTTAAGGGCGATATTTATGTTTATATCTGTTTCTTCATCTCTCCTTTTTTTTACTTACCTTATTTATAAACAAAATATAAAGTTGACAAAATCAAATTTAGCCTTTTATTTCAAAGAATCAGATATAATCTTTCCCGGTATGTATGTTGTAGATGAGGACGGAATTTAAATGGTATGGGAAATTAGAATAATTGGAATAGAATGTAGGTTTAAGTAAGATAAACTCTACCTTAAAATTTATGACAAGTCCACTTAAATTCCATTCCCATTTACATGTAAATTTCGTCTTTTTTGATTATCAGATAGATGTTAGAGATTAATATATATTGTGTGGTCAATATCAGCATTTTCTTTATGCCGCACATGTATGTATATTTCATTTTCCACAAAATTACTAAAAAAGTAAATATTAAGATTCTTTAATACTTAAAACATAGATTCGAATATTAGATTTAATGAATTTTACAATACCTCAACCGAATTTTACAATATCTCTACCGTATCTTATAACCCTTATGGTTCAAATATCAATATTGATAATATTGATTGTTATAATTTCACTAGCTCTACAAATCCTACATCATGCAATGATTATATCATTCAAAATGATATTATTAATTGTTTGACTTTTTCACCATTTCGGAATCAATCAAATCAAGAATGTAATGATGTTGGTAATAATTGCATAATCAGTTCCCGAAAAAATAGTAAACTCGGCTTAAATTATATTATTTTTAACATTACTTCTTATGTATCACCTCCTGCTAGTTTAGTTTCTGACTATTTTTCAATCATATTTAATCATGTTTATATAATTGATAGTAACAATAAGACAATTCAAAATAATATAACCTTCAATATTCATCCATTTAACAAAGGAAAGTTTGTTACGTTTGAGTTTTCTATTAAAACAAGATTAACTTACAGCAGTATTTTCATGAAAGGATTTGGACTTAGTCCTACTATTCAAGAAACTTTTGTTGATGCAGAAATTAAGGAGCTCGAAATCGCCGACAATTCTCCATATACGGTTTTACTATTGAAACCAAAGAATAACACTATATATAATGAAGAAGAAACTTTTGACTACACTAGTAAATATATTTCTTATTATTGCTGTAATTTTTGACAACGTTATATAATATTATTACTCAATAATATCTATTTTACTTTTTTCAGTTTTATTCATCATTTCATCCATGGGTGGTTTCTATGGCGCTGCAGCTGGGGTATACAAATTACTATTCGGAAGTCCAAAGATTTCTCCTTGGTATTAATGCTACTATCATTTTATTAGCTATAAAGACCTTTATGATCCAAATTAATATATATTTATAACTATAACTTTAATTACAGGGGTATTACACAAAAATATATGTGCTGTTGGAACCTACGCAAAAAATATGAAATGATAACGGCTGCACACTACGTTTCTAAAGCTGGAATACCTTTTGCTGATAATCCATGCCAATTACCTCAAGGTGCCACTATTAATGATAGAGTTTTTGTATTAGAATCAGTGTTAAGAAAGTATTATTTAGATACAGATTATTTTGCTGAATTAAATTATGTGGTTAAACAAAATGAAAAATACAAAACAAGAGTTGAAAAATTGGAAAAAGGTGTTTAAGTTAACCCGAAACATTAAATTTAATTTTTATGACTTTTAATCTAAAATTTATTAAATTAATATACTTTGATCTATTGATTTTTAACTATGAAAAATTACATATCAATGCTGTATTATATTAGGGATGGGAATCGAATCTATGATAATCGTTTTAATCGTTAATCGAATTATAATCGATTCTCATTTTTGTGTAATCGTTATAATTGTTTCTAGGAACGGTTACATATTTTTGAATCGATTCTAAGCTTATGATCGTTTTAATTATAATAAACTTTTGCTTATTTTAAAGTTATTTTATTATTTTAATAATAGCACTTTTGTTTTTAAACTTTATAAGTCATTTAGCCCAGCCTTAGTTTGTACGTAGCCAGCTATTTTGCACGTTATTGTAAATATTTAAGAATGTTACACTTAATTTTCTTGATGGTGTTACGGGTTATATGGACGAGTTCAGAGATGGGGCAAATGCGACGAATTGTCGCTAGAAAAACGGTTATGCCGCGTAACGTTCCTCAAAGATAATAGAGGCGGTTTAACGATTTGGCACAAGGTCAAGGCGATCGTTTAGGGAGCGTTACAAGATAAGTATTGCGATTTTAAAGGAGCGTTTATTTATTTTACAAGTTGAAAGGGCTTTATTAACTTTAATATTTTTTTGTAGGGGCAGTACAAGTGTATTGTTAGGGGTTATTCGAATTATTTTGAACTATGCTGGACTATTCTGATATTGTACGATTCTGAACTGTATTGAGATGCCTTTCGGGAGGGGGAAATTCCACCCTTTTTATAATAAATTGAACAAGAGAAGAGCCCGCGCAAGACCACGACTCTCCTCATTATTACTAACACTTCCCAACCTTATTGGTTATAACCTTTAACCCCTTCCACACAGCCTTTCATTACTTTAACATTTCTCACGGCTTCAATTGAGAAATGTTTCAGTTACATAATCCCGGGGTCAGAACTCATCGCATTGTCTTCAATCGCACCCCCTTGACATCGCCTCACACCTAACCCAAGTAGGGCAGATGAAGTCAACGTCCATTCCCGGTGCAACAGGTTGGTCCAAGTCGACCTTACTTTAATTGGGGGGTGGTTGGGTCCCACATGGAGGCTTGTGTACTTTCATATGGCATCTTTTTGGGGCCAGGCGCACATGTTTCAGATCGTCATGGGCAACTTTAATTAGGTAAGTATGTCACAATGATGTCCATTTTGCAGGCTCTATGAGGTGTCAGTTTTACCTCTGACAATGATTATATGTCATAGGCAGAAGTTCATCTGATTGGTTAATAAATTCAAATTAATTTTACATTATTTATATAGTTTAGAGTACTTTTTTAAAAAATGAAAACCAATTATGATAAAGTAAAAAAAACTATATAGAAGGTTTCATTAGAGTTGTAGGATTCCATAGTCAAAAATAAGATCTAATTCTCAGTCATTTAAAAAAATTAGTATATAATAAGTTGATTTTATTTTTTATTTTTTTTTTATTCTTTGACAGTCTTGTCGGAACTTTAATATAAAATTTTACTAATTGAAACATTATCTATTTCTAGTAATCCACCTTTGCAATTGCAAGCCTGGCATCATCCAAGTACAGAGACTGCACTTAAATGCAACTTGTCACACCAACCTATTCCTAGATTGGGAAACTTTGGTAGCTCTGTCAAGAACTGAACCAGAATGGACTATTTCTATTCTGTATTATTTTATTCATACCTTTTATAAACAACTGCCTTCATTCTATCTCCCTTTCTTTGTGTTTCTCTCCTCCAACCTTATTCACTAATATTTCTTTACTTTTTACTTTCTTTATACTGCATTCACTATTTTTCACCATCTTGTCTCTTTTTCGCTTTAATTTCATTGTTATTTTATTCTCTTCTTCCTACTCAATTACTGTTCTACATCTTTGTTACCAGATTTCTTCTCTAAACATCTTTTTTACAATCTTAATATATAATCTAATACTCTGCTTTACAGCTTTATGTAAAACCTGTTTAGTATATAACTTCTTAAACATACTCTCGACTGCTAACCCACATATGCATGCCTCTCTATGTTTAATTCTATCTACTTCTGTTTCATCAACTAATATTCTTTTCAAGTCATGTCTTGTAAGCTTGTATTTGTTTAACTTGTCAAATTTTTTTCATACTAACCAACATGCTAACTCTTCGATATTATTCCAATAGTCCTCATATTCTTCGTAAATGAACAATGTCTTGATGACTCTTCCTCTGTTTTACACTCTTTATATACATCTGAACTATACAAGTCTGGTGCTCTCTTCTTTAACACCTTAAGTACTGCCAAACTGTTTGTAATATACTTAATTCTAAATAAGATTCTCTTGCTCTTCTCTAATGATTTACACTTGTTTCCTGTTAAATTTCTATTTTCTTTTTACAACCGTCTCCAATCACATTGTGCTTCTGCATCTGGTTCTAGCTCTTTTGTCACATTTGAGCAACGCCATTTAGTATTATTCATCATGTTTGTTAATGTCTTGACAAATTTTCTTGTTGATACCTCTACTACTGTTTCTCTTCAAAATAGTGCATATGAAAATCTCAAATTTTTCTCAAACTTCAAATCTGTAATTTCAATCTGTCGTGCACCTTCTTTCACAAGCTTATCTGCTCTTTTATTCCATAATATTCCACTATATGTTTTGATTTTAACTAAAGATACCTTAATGTTCTTCGACTTGCACATGTCTTTAATCTTTGTAACTAATCTAAAGTTCTTACTTTTACTCCATACTCTAATATTATGTAGTGGTTCCTCACTTTTCAGACTTGCAATTGCTGCTACACTATCTAATTTAATAACTAGCTTACTATTACATGTTACAATTAATACTGCCATCCACACTGCTGCTAATTCTGTCTTTGTCGATGATGACCATTTTACTATTCTAATTTTTCCTTCCATTAATAGTCTACTCTCATCTTTGCTAACCTGAACCCAACTTGCACCTATTTTGTACTCATTTTCCTCTTTTATTAGTGACCTGTCTGTATAAAAACTATAATTTATATATTCTACTTTCATGTTTTCCTCTAATTGTTTTAATAACAATATTTTTAGATTACTATCAAAACCTTACATCTTTAACAGACTAGTCTCATGTGCATGTATTCTTATTTTCTTATCTACGCCTATTTCTCCACTCTTATTTCTATTCTCCATGTGATTCTCTTTATATTCAATTAGTTCTTCTAACAGAACTGGAATCTTCTGGTTGTTCTCTTGTCTGATTCCTGGCAGCACACCTGCTATTTCTTTTTTCTTAACCCAATGTTGACAGTTACTTGCATTCTTTCCATTATTCAAGTTGCATTTTTCATACTCAACTAGTATTGAATAATTTCGATCTTCAGTTCTTAATGCGCTTCAGTAACTTACAAGCACATCTTTTTTTCTTTTTTTAATTACTTTGCCTATTGTCGAGTTTATATTTTCCTTATTCACTAGTACCCATTCGTGTCTTCTCCTATCTTGTATTAACTTTTTGCATGCAAAGCACATTGCCATAATGTTCATACTTTGTGTTTGAAATTCTGCCCAGACTGTTCTGTCATCTTGATTACTTAACATTTTCTGCTCAATTTCTGAGAACCATTTCACTTTTTGTCCTTTTTGCGTACTTGCTCGTAATGCTCTAAACTTCTTCCATGTAATCATTCTCTTGCCGTCTTGATCAACTAACTGTTGTACAAAAAATATTCTATACTCCATTAACCTTCTACATGTTATTTTGAATGTTTCTTTTTCTAATACACTGTGTACAGTTTTACCTATATCATAAATCTGCCAAAGATCACCTTCTTCCTTTACTGTTACACCTATTTCTTTTGCCTTAAGTATAACTAAACAAGCTAAATTATTTTTCCAAATATGTTATAAGTTGCTTAATAACTCTGCATCTAAGTTCTCTGATACTAATCCCACCAGAGCAAAGCCTTGTTTTACTCATGTTCTCGTTATTTCACCAACTTGATTCAGCTCATTTAATCTTCTTTGCAATAATACTAACTGATTATTAAAAATCTTTTGACTTAATATCCTATATCTTTCTAGACCTTAATGCATAATTGTGCTATTTTCTGTAGTTGATGCCAAATCTATTTTGTTCTTAATTAATCTAATTACTGGCTGATATAAGCACATTAGTTTCTCTTTAGATGCTTTTGTAGTTTGCAACATATATGTCAATTTTGGTATTATACATATATTATTGATCTATATTAACTGACTGATAGTTAACTTCTTAAATCATATGCTATGCATAAATTGCTGTATAATTCTTCTTGCCTTCTTAATAACTAAATTTTTATTTGCTTCTATACTTAACCATACTCCTAACATTCTCGTCAATGCATACTTCTCTTCAACTTGTAGTTGAAAATTGTTTATCAAAACAAAATTCTTATTTCCTTCTGTTTTTGAGTTAATTACCAATAGCTTTGACTTGGAACTATTGATTTAAATGTCATTGAACCTAAAGAACCTTTGCAAAATTTGAATGATCTCTTGCATCTCCTCTTTACTCTTTACCACCCAAGTTGTGTCATCTGCATATGTGACTACAGCTTGTCTTGTTTTTTTCACTTTAACTCTGTTTATTTGCAAGTTTAGCATTTCAAACATCTTGATTTCATATCCTAACTGCTAATCATCTTGAATTCTTTTTAATAATGGATTATAAAATATCCTCCAGACTAATGGTGAAATTATTTCTCCTTGCTCAATCCCATCTCCAGTGATAAATTTCTTTGTTAATCCAAACTCTGTTATAATGCTAACTTCTCTTCTGCTATATAACTCTATGATAAACCTTATAATTTCTGCTAGCAGCTTAATTCTCTGTAATGCTAGCTAGAGTGACTTCATTGATACTGAGTCATATGCCTTCTTTATGTCTTGCATTAACAACTACAACTCTTTATTGTTTTCTTTCGCATCTTATCTTAACATTTCTACAATAT